AGTCCAGTAGTCCATAATAGCATTGGGTCTTCCGCTTCACTGGCAATGTCAGAAATTGTTGACCTGAGTCCCCCACAGCTCAACATAACAGCATGGCTTTACTTCCTATATTTCATCTTCATACTTTTCTGCTGGATGGTTAAGACCAAGGTAAAACAGGACCTATGCAACACGAGTTGTAGCTTTTGGGTCTGATAAGGTCAGTGAAATCCCCTCAGGATTTATCCTGAGATCCTGGATGTCAGATTGTAGAACCTTTGTCAGTGTCAGCCATGTAGATGAGTCACGGCCATTGCTTGGCCAATGTGCTCTCTGTGAAAGCCTGAGAGAATGTTTTCTCTCCATGTGACTCTCCTTAGGCACACTCTACATCATTGATCACTTTCCTCTTTGGCCCCATAATCTCCCTGATCAGAAAATTTGGGACACTGCTGAGTTACATGACGTTACAGTACAAGTTCTCATATGTCCTGAGTCTTAATTGACCTTGGAAGGCTAGGGCCAAAAAGTTGACTTTCCTTGCAGCCTTCCTTTTTCTCCAATTTGGTCTGCAAACTTAGGTTGTTAACCATCCCATTTTTGTTTCATATTATCTTTACTGTGCAGGGCCCTATGCTATTATTTCTTCACTGTCAATTATTTTACTCTTCTAGAGTAATGTGTATTTGTAAACATTAAATTTCTTTCTGGTATAAGACTAAGAATCACACAGTCATGATGTACTATGGGTAGATCTATGCTAATTACACATTAGATTTAGTCTAAATGTTAAAAAGGTCTTTACTACCATCACCAAACCAACAACAACAAGACGTGTGTGTTTAGAACATGTGCCCACACACAGAATACCTGTTATCTCAGCAACTTGGGAGGCTGAGGCAAAGGCTTTCAAGCTTGAACCCAGCCTGGCCAACTTAACTTAGCAAGACCCGGTCTCAAAGTGAAAATAAATGAGTTTGTAGATACAGCATGTGATCAGGCCCTAAATTCAATCTCCAGTGCTTCTAGTGCCCATGGTATGTTAAACTGTCCAATAAACCTGGGGAACACCAGAGAACTTTATCAAGGTATAAAGAACATATCATAGCTGTGGTATATCTCATGATACCTATGCTAAAAAAGTAATTTAGAAACAAGCAAGTCAGAACATTGAATCTGGGTTAACTTTCACATGAATATGGTATATGAGGTGTCACTGAAATACATTGTGATTTAAATATTACATTAAAACACACATTGCCATTCCCTTCAAATGACTCCCTTTCACTTTGAACACGTTTATCCTGTCATTCTTGCCACTTCCTGAAGCAGCTCTGGAAGTGTTCTCTGGTATGAGGTCTGTATAGAGTGGCAACTGCAGTGATTGCTACTACCAAGTGCCCTCCAACAGAAAGGCAGCCTCGTAACAAGCATTGCCCTGTGTCCTCATCTCCCTTACTCACTGGATCTGGCATTGTATGACTCCTAGCTCTTTCCCACACTCAAAATGACTAAGGAAAGTAAACAGTTTTGAGTCAACTCAGGATATCAAGGCAGCCCTTAGTATTATTCCCTAGTTACTGTGAACTGATCAGGCTTGCAATCTCCCAATAAAGGCTTAAATAAAATGAGTCAAGTGGTACAATTTTAGGGCTCCAGGAGGATCAAAATTCTTCAACAAAATTCGAGATTCTTTGGGGCCTGAGACAAAGATCTTTGGGAGGTCCATATTTAGTTATCAAGACAAGGGAGATACTGAAGAAAGGCTGAAAACACCGTTCTGTTGACTCATCCTATGCTAAAGCCAGTGTAGAGGGTAAGGGTAGGAGAAACAGCATATCCCAGATGCGCTGTCGGTCAGTTTTCTTCAGAACTCTATTTTCTGTAGTGCTGGTAGTTTCAAAGAAGCACACCACACATGTTGAAGAAAGGACACTTACACGTGTGTGTGTGTGTGTGTGTGCGCGCGCGCGCATGGCTTAGGTGACAAGCCCATTTGCCTTCTCGCCCTATCACATTTCAGTGTGATGTTGGGCTTCTCTAAGATGGCATGTTGATACTCTGTCAGCTCGCTTAGTGCGGTCACGCACACATAGCACCTCACACCAAGGAAATGTAAATGGATCTTGCTACATAGATGGTGTAAACCCTACTCCCTCAGACTTATTTCCTTAGAAACCTGATTTTTTTTTTTTTTTTTTTTTAATTTTTAACCTTTTTTTTCCCTCCGGGTACCAGGGATCAAATTTGGGACCTTGCACTTGCCTTGCTAGGCAGGCGCTTAAGCCACTGAGCTATCTCTTGGGCCCTCTGTGTACTTTTTGCCCACTGCTACTCTTTAAAAAAACAAAAAAACAAAAAAAAAACAAAACCCAAAGATAGCATTCAAATATGTGGTGAATATCTAACTGGAATTATCTGTGGACTGAGCTGGATGCTTTGTTAAAGTCTGTTGATTTAAAAAAAGAAAAAAAAAAAAAAAAAGTCTGTTGATTTAAAATCAACTGTGCTCATCCCTGTTCCTAGTTCTGCTGCTAAAATATAATGGGAAACTACACATACACTACAGGGATGAGCTAAATTAGATGTGGTGTATCTGCTCTGTCAGTAGTGAGGCAAGCACATGGGAATAACATGGGAACGTAGGGTGAGGATATATTTAGATAAAAAAGCAAATTGGAATATTATTTGTACTGTATCTGTGTTTCCTCAAATTTTTACACTTGAACTTAGCTAAAAGGCTGAGAAGCAATTCCTCAAATTTTTAATACTTATTCCCACTGGCCCCAGAAAACATCTATCCATTTTTAGCTCCCCTGGTCTGTATCCTCACTGGGATTTAATTCTTTCTGATCATTTGGATGGAAAGAACTAGTTGGTAAAACTGTGGGGTTGGTACTTTATTTGTACTGTAAGTTTTTCTGATTTATAATTCCTAGATAATGGTTTTGACATTTTCCAGTTTGCCCACATACCTTATCTTGTCCTAAAGTGTTATTTTCCATTTCTCTCTTTTATTGGTAAATAAGCAAAAGTTACTTATAGTCAAAGAATGAATACTTTTATTGTTTCTGGAATGCTAATTTAATTTTTACAAAACATTCAATGGCAACACACTAAAGACTTAAAAAATTACTAAAATAAGAAAACAGGTAAGCAGGTAGCAGAGTTGGTCGTTTAGTGATTTAAGATGACAGTAGTTGACATGCCACTTAAGAAACATGGAACACATTTTGAAAAGCAGCAAGCATCCAATCCAGAAATTTTCATCTGAGACTTTTTTTTAACTTGTAAACCTCATAGGTCTAGAGAATAAGACTCTTTAGATTTGAGCCAACACATTTAAAATTCCCTTCAAGAAGTGGAGGCTACACTGAGGGATAAATGGAATCACTATGCATCCAAGTATAGGCTCTGCTGACGACTTTTTAGGATCTCTCCAAGAATTTGTGATTCCTAGTGCCAATTCTCTGCCCTTACTCAGGGCTGATTGCCACTAGTAAAGTTTAGGGATGGATAAGAGGGCCGGAGATGGCTCAGTGGAAAAAGCGCTTCCCTGGCAAGCGCAAGGGCCTGAGTTCAATCCCCGGTTCCACCAAAAAAAAAAAAAAAAAAAAATTAGGGATGGGGTTGCCAGAGTATTTCACTCAGGGCTGTGAATTTTGGGGGGTAAAAGGTGTGGTGTCATTTGGTAAAAATGACAGTTCATTCTACACATAGTAAAAATGTTAGAACCCAATGATGCTATTTTGACATAGTCTCAAAAAATGTGTAAAATAATCAAAATTCTAGGTATTCCCCTGGTTTGAGAATTTGAATGTAAAACTGTTAGCATAGTTTTTTTTTTTTTAAGACAAAGTGATTAGGTTAAAACAAATAACTGTTTCATGACTGTGTGGACATATCACTGTACCAATGAGTTAAACACAGTACCTGGAAACGGATTTCACAGTAGTAGTAGAAGATTCAAGAATCCTGTGAAGTGTTTATCTCATCACTTACATTTACACTCCTTATTACAAACATCTTCTAGTGCCTCTAGAAATGTTAGTTTATTAGGGATAGTTTTTTTTAAAAAAATGCACACTGTACTTTTAGTATTTAAGTTGTAAATATCCCACTATCTCTTTGGATACGTTTTTGAAATTAAACTTATCCTTGTAAGGGCTTACAACTATTGTTGGTGAACAAAGCATAAACTGGATGCATCTGAGCACGGTCCCTGCATTTTGGAACTCTGGGCTCACTCACGTGCGCTACTAAACCTTCTGCTGACCCAATGACAGGTCTAGCCATTGAGCTCTTCAGTTCTCTTCATGTTCTTTAGCTCTGCCAGACTGAGTATGCAGGAGACTTGAGCCGAGCACAGGTGGCTGGAGATGGTGAAAGAATGAGGTGTACAGAGGAGAATCCACGGAGGGTGGAGTTAGCTTTAAAATGGTTTCTAATGTGTGTAAGATGCTAAGGGAAGCCAGATAAAATCACATTGGAAAGTACCTTATGGCATTTCACTACTAGAAAGCTCTCTTCTAACCCTGCCTGTGCTTGTGTATGAATGTGCATTAAGTGTGCACACGACTTAGGCATATATAATGAGATTTAGGGGCTTTTCTCTTAGAGAACAATCTACTGTGTAGAAGCAAAATTTACATGAGCTAGTGTCCTTTAATGCTGCCATGGTTTTGATGTATAGTCCAGAATTCCATTTACTTGTCAAGAAACTACTATGGGTATTTTTGTTTAAACTTTACGTTTACCTTTCTTTTAAACCCATAACTTAGTGATATTTTAAACTTTAATACATATATAAAGTTGTAAATATAAATGTTTTTAAAATGCTTATACACATACATATACACATACATCTTCTTGAATGTTAGACTTTCATCAGTGTGGTAGATTTTCTTAACTTTTCTAGTATTCTTATAAATGAGAATGTGCTCATCCCAGTGATTTTAAAAACATTAAAAAGCCTGATATGTAGCAAATACGTATGTATGTCCTGGCTTTTTTTTTGACAGCAATCAGAAACGGAGACTGTGCATCTGTTCATCCCAGCCCTATCAGTTGGCGCCATTATCGGCAAGCAGGGCCAGCACATCAAACAGCTTTCTCGCTTTGCAGGAGCTTCAATTAAGGTACTGTTCTGCCAACTGTGGCTCTCCTGGATATTTGATGAAATTACAGAAAGATGAATCTTCTTTCCACTTTATAAAGAAAATCCCAAACAACAGTGGCTTAAACGAAGCAAATTAACTTCCCTTCCCAGGAAAATTGGCCTGGAGGTAAGCAATCCAGGGCTGGATGGTGGCTGTGCCTCGCCAAGGACTTGGACCTTCATGGATCCAGGTGACACCATTCAGTGTTTCAGTATTTTGAGGATCAAATCTGTTGTCCATCAGTAGGACAGAAAGGACGACAGTGCCTTTCTACCTGGTGAAATTTGCTTAGTTGCTCTGAGAAAATCTATATATATAAATCTCAGCACTAAGACATTGTCCAAAACTGGATAAAGCTGAAGGGGCAGAGAAGACTAGGCTATTCAGCGAGGCAAACAGCCTACTGTAGTGCCACTGGCAGAGGACAGCCAAATGGCATCTGCTCCAATAGGTCATTCATTGTGTACTCTGAACATTTTGTGTTTCAGTGTGCTGGGCAATATTAAACATGGTTCTTTCATTTTAGGGAAATAGACTGACAGGTTTGATGTAAGAAAGCTATCAGAGGTTTTGATGATGTTTCATAAAGCTTTTAGAAGATCAATTAAAAAACAGTATACTTAGCGTACAATCCATAAATCCTGCTCCCAAAACATAGATACACATGGCAGAACACACAAGCACACATGTGCCCACCTATAAAGACTTTATTGCAACTCCACAAATAAAATCCAAATGTCCAACTGGTGAAAGAATAAAGTATGTTCCATCTGCACAGTATTATTGAGTACTAGAAAGGAACCAACTATGTACTGATAAAATAATTTGGAGATCTCATGCAGAATGCCGAGGGAAAGGACGCATACTGTATGATTCCACTTACATGATAATTCTGGAAAAAGCAGGGCTACAGGGAGAATATACTGGTGGTTGCTAAGAAGGAGGGAAAGAAGAGGAGGAAGTGAAAATAACAAGGCTTCCAGAGAAGACTGAGTGGTGAGTGAGGTAATCAGTCCGTAAGTTGATCATAGAGGTTACAACATGAGTATGCATCTGTCTCTTCCTAGAGCTGGGCACCACGGGAGTGACTTTTACTGTATGCATATTAAATAATTACAATTCAAAGCACAGAAAAATAGTCCTTACATACATCCTTTCAGCAAGAGAGAACAAAACCCAGGAAAAGAAACCTAGCCAAAATAAGTGGGAAAAGGCAAAAAAGACAGTAAGATCAAGTGAGGACCTGATTTTACTATTCTGCTAGTTTCATAATTGAATTTAAAAAAAAGCTTCTGTGTCTGGGAGAGAAGGTGCAGGCCTGCACTCTGTAAGCAGAGGCAGGAGGATCAAAATAAACACACAAAATGAAATCTCTGAGATGTGCTGATACACAAAAAAATCCTGGTAGATCCATTTTGGAAAAACTGCAATGAACAGTTCTTGTATAAGAATTGGTTATTAAAGTCTTTTTTTTTCTGGCGAAATCTTGTCAGTCTGGTATAGGTCCCCTCCTGCCTAGCACCCCATCTCTCCAGCACTAGGGATTGGACTTAGGGCCTTCACACTGAGCTACATCCCTGGCATTTTTAAATTTTGAGACAGGGTCTCTTTAATAGCTTATGCTAAGCTTGGTCTTGGGATCCTCCATCTTCAGCCTTCCAGAGTGCCAGGATTACTAGCATGCACCATCATACCCAGCTACAAATGTTTATTTTCCTCCCGTCCCCTCCCCACCTCTCCCCTCCCTACCTCTTCTTTCCCCTCTTCTTTCTTTTTTTTTGGGGGGGGGTCTTTTTGAGAGAGGGAGCTCATTTTATTTTTAAAATTTTATTTATTTATTTTTTGGTGGTATCAGGGATCAAACTCAGAACCTTGTGCTTGCCAGGCAAACACTTATTCCACTGAGCTATCTCCCTGGCCCCTTGAGCTCATTTTATAGCCCAGGCTGGTCTCAAATTCACAATGATCCTGCCTCAGCCTCCCAAGTGCTGGGATTACAGGTATGAGTCACCATATCCAGCTGAACATTTTCAAGAGATGTTGAAAATGTTTTTGGTGGGGCTGGAGAGATAGCTCAGTAGAATAAGTGCTTTCCTGGCCAAGCGCAAGGGCCTGAATTCAATCCCAGTTCTGCCCCCCACCCCCCCAAATGTTTTTGGTTTTCCATAGTCTGAAATATATAATCTGAAAGGCTGAAAAAATACATTTACATATGGGCACATTTAGATACAGATATACCTTATTAGACAAATGTCACCAAACTGTCACTTATGTTCACTTGATATTTACATTATTAATTTTATCCCACACAAGCAATCCAGTGATAAGAAAAATACAACCTTAACTGCACACTTAAAAGACATAGACTTCATGGATCACAGGGCATGTGCTTTTTTCAGGTTTTGAGAGATTATATGTAGCAATTTATATTCCTAGTTTCTGTGTATGAGTTCCCTTTTCCCCAGCTCTATCAGCAGTAATGACAAAGGTGTTTACAAAATAGAACAGCAGGAGTGGGCAATGTTGCTATGTGGCAAAGCACTGGGCTAATTTGTGTCCTGGGTTCAATCTTTCCACTACATTAAAAAAAAAAAAATCCAGTTTGAAAGTTGAACAATGATTTTTTTTTTTTTTAACAATGAAAACAGCAAAGTCTGTATTTACATTTATCCTGCTTAATTTATTTCATGTTATTCCCAGTGTGTATACCTGGGGTGTAATTTACTCCTTGGCTTATAAACCTGGCAAACAATATGTAAATACGAAATCAAGTTTCCTTTTTAAATGATGCAAAAGGAGCTCAGCAACCTAGACAGTATTTTTAGAAAACAATGCCCTTTCTTCTGAAAATTAGAAAAAGCTATAGAATGTCGAGTCTCAAAACAGGCTTCTAGGCTTGCAGTCTCCAGGCTTATAGAAGCCAGGTGGGTTGTGAAGCATACTCGCGTGCTGCTAGTGTACTGATTCTAAACTCGGGCATCTGAAACAGCAGTGCCCCAGCTGGCTTGGTTACTGTCTGATCAAAGGCTGGGCTACTCTAGTAGAGCCTCCGTGTCTGTTAGTCACATTGCTGGTGTCAGACTGGTCGGCCTAAGGTGTCTATCATTGACACTTGGAAGTGTTATAACCTTTTGGGGATGGGGTCTGTTACAGATTGCTCCAGCTGAAGCGCCTGATGCTAAAGTGAGGATGGTGATCATCACTGGACCACCAGAGGCTCAGTTCAAGGTATGTGCACAGGTACACATGGTGGGGTGAGCGACAGTGCCTTTGCAGAACAGGTACATAGACTCTGAAAAGCCACATCTAAGATCAAAGAACTATACTCATATTACTGCATGTTTCTCCTTGGTGGTTTTACTCTTATAGCTGGAATTACTGTCTTGTAACCACTGTAAGCTCATTTGGTGAGAAATTCAGTTATTTCCATGTATCCTCCAATTACCATATTATAGTAATCCTCAGGAGGTGGAGGCAGGAGCATGAGTTGAAGGACAGCCTGAACTTTACATAGTTGAAATCCTCTCTCAAAATTAAAAAAAAAAAGTTAAAAGGGGTAACACTTACGCCATAATGGTTAAATCTCTCACGTGATCAGTTACAATTTAATACTATTTTAGCAACCTAAGGAATAGTTAACCTACTAATCTAAATTTTTCTCATAAATTCAAAAGTTTCTGTTTTAGATAGCAGCAGATATTCCTAGTGTTCTTTGTGCTAATAGCTACACCTTTGATCTGAGACATTATGGATGGATGGCATGAAGTACAGCAAGATAAACTTTGTCTTTTCTTTAATCTCCTAAAATGAGATTGGCATTTCTACACTGATAACTTTTTTTTTTTTTTTTTTGGAGGAACCGGGGATTGAACTCAGGCCCCTGCGCTTGCCAGAGAAGCACTTATTCCACTGAGCCATCTCCCGGCCCCACTGATAACATTTTTGTGGATTGCTTTTGCAACCTGTCAGATGAGACCTGGTTTTGTTTGCTCTGGTGTTACTACAGAAAGCTAATGAGTACACCTAACAGACAGTGTTGTTATGTCACACCTATAATGTATATGGTAGCTGATAGAATATGTTGGTTTATAAATATACATGTTAACTTGACTTCAGAGCCTATTTACAGCAGAAATTGCTTGGCTAAGAATTAAGAAACATGTTTACACAGAATATTCCTCTCACTAGGTTTCTAACTGGCCATTTAGACATCAGCATTGCTCTTCATGAGCCTGGCACAGCTGGCTGTATAGTTCTTGCCCAGTCCTTCCTTCTGGCTGTTACCCAGGCAGGTGGTAAATTCACAATACTCCTGCCTCAGCCTGAGTTGTTGGGATTATAGGCACGACCAGAGTCTTGCTCTCGTCTCTTTGCTCAAGAAAAATGCAATTTATTTCTCCTTACCAAATGAGTTTTTATTTTTCAAGCTTGCAGTAAAGATGGGCCATTTTCCCACAAGAAAATGTGTTTTACGTAGATACTAATTGCCTTTAGCTGTTTTCATCAGAGGAATATGGCTTATCTTTCATCAATCATTGCTACCTTATGGGTGGTACATGCAGTTAGTGTCACTTTCCAGGGCTCCTTAACTTTTATGATCTCTTTTATGCTGTCTTCAGCATTCCAGTTAGATTTAGTTCAACTTTTGTTGGAATAAAACATGAATGGCACTGACAGGCTGTACTTTTTGCCTGCAGGCTCAGGGAAGAATTTATGGAAAAATTAAAGAAGAAAATTTTGTTAGTCCTAAAGAAGAAGTGAAACTTGAAGCTCATATCAGAGTGCCATCCTTTGCTGCTGGCAGAGTTATTGGAAAAGGAGGCAAAACGGCAAGTACTTCAGCAAAACCTGTGCAGTGGTATGAAAGGGAAAGCATTGAAAGGTACTTAGGAGTTCCAAGTCCCTGAATTTTGGCTAATTTATAAAAAAACAAGACCATCTTGACAAAGGTTTGGAGAAAACTATTACTTGAGTGCTGGTGTCAGCTACTTGTGAAAGTAATGTGTCTTTCAGATGACTGACAGAAACATCCTGTATTTGTGGTTTTTTTTTTTGGGGGGGGGGCTAGCTCAGAATGCCTTCAGGGCATGTTTAGCTGGCTGCAGTTGTGGGGATCGAACCACAGCAACCTGAGGCTGACTGCTTTGTTGAAGCAGCCACTTAAACAACTGAGCTAAGGGGCAGGGGCAGGCCCCAATATCCTGTATTTGTAAAGAGCATTCAGCATCATTCTGTTGTTACAACTGAAGCTTTTCCTTTTTATTATATAAACACTTAAAGGACATGAATGAATTGAAAATTTTAAAATTTTATCTATGATTCTGTTGAAGAAAAAGCAAATAGCTTCCAGTCTTCTTATAACATGTCATTTCCAAAACTACAGGTTTTTTTTCTGTATTTAGGATAGGGTCTTACTATGTAGATCAGACTTGTAGTGATTCTGTTTTCAGCCTCCCAAGTGCTGAGATTACAGGTGCGCTGTACTACGCAGTCTCAATTGCCATCTCGGTGCACCCTGGGGGAGGAGCTGGCACGGCATGCCAGGGATCGAACCCCAGCCACTGCACTCCGCCTAAGTAGGCACTTTAGTCCACTGAGCTATCAGGCCAGCCCACTACTTACTATTTATTTATTTATTGATTGATTGCAGAACTGGGGATTGAACTCAGGCCCTTGTGCTTGCCAGGCAAGTGCTTGTTCTACTGAGCCATCTCCCCGGCCCCACTACTTACAATTTTAAAGTCACTAAAAAAGCGTATACTTTGTAATTATATTACCAGGATTTGAATCTGGTTTTGCCATTTACACGTCTAAATGAACAAATAAAATAGTTCTAATAATCTTAAAATGGGGAAAGTGTTGTTACTTACAAAGCCACAGCTCAGTGTCTCATGTATAGTAAGTGCTTAGGAAATAGTAATATTCTTAAAATGCTGCTTACCATGATCTGTGTTTTTCTTTCAGGTGAATGAACTCCAGAATCTGTCAAGTGCTGAGGTTGTTGTCCCTCGTGACCAGACACCTGATGAGAATGACCAAGTGGTTGTCAAAATAACTG